TATATAAATATATATATATAATATATTATGAATTTCTAATTTAGAAAATAATATTTCAATATTTTTCTATAAGAAAAATTTATATTTAATTTCATAATTATAAATATATTTAAATATAAGTTTAATAGCACGGAATTATCCGAATATTATAGAAATATTTTATTTATTTTTGTTGCTTTTTCTCTCCTTTATGATCTATTCGAAGCCACATCAATGGAATATGAGGTATGGATATCTTCGGATATGAAAATATGGACATGAAATAAATTCTCTTAAAATTTTAGAAGCCTAATATGCGAAATATTTTCAGGACTCAAATATTTTAAAATTCCCAAAATCTGAGAAACTATAAAAAAGGAATTTTTAGGAAAATTGATCCCTGTCAATATTTTCTAATATCACGCTTCAGAAAATTTTGACGAAATTTAAGCCTGGCCACTCTCTGATATTCTCAGATATGAGAATATAGATGGAATTATAAATATTACTAAAATTCCTTGTCCCCGCATTCTTTATAGATGCCGGGGCTGGATTGTCATTATATGAATATTTTAATTATTATTATATTATTATGTTTCAGAATATTTCTTTTTATTTATGATATTATTATATTGGTATTATTGCTTTTATTCGTAGTAGAATTGATGGTGGGAGATCATATATTATCCCTATTATTTGATATTCTTATTGGAATTATAATGGTAGTAGTTTCAATAGTGGTCTTCTGAATTCTGATTAATATTAATTATTCTTATTATATAAATATAATTGAATTTTATAATTAGCCGAAGCGATTGATGCTATAATAGAATAATCTTATCTAAATCTATAATATCTCGCTCATAGGCACAAGAATTCTCATACTAGATATTTCCGAAATAATGCTATTATATTTTGCAGAATCAATTGAAGGAGCCTTTTTATTTCTGCTCATGATTTAAATGTCTCAGCTTTTCTATATTTTGAGAATATTAAAAAAACGAAATATTTTCTTTCTAGTAAGAAAAAATAGAAGGAGGTTTAGGCGATAAGATAAGATCCATTTCATATCTTAGTAAATCATGTTATAACTAGTAGCTCTCTTGGATTTATTGTTACTATTATGACATAAAAAAATCTGCTTATTCGTTTATATAAATCCAGGTGGTCTTTTACTTTTTAGTGAAATAGGAGAAATGAATATTTTCTAATATATTTCGCTTTAACTCCCACGAAATAAACAATAATATACGACGCATCTCCATATTCTTTATAAGGAAAGGAAAGATAGATCATTATTAACTCTTTATATTTCTTATTGCTAGCATACGAGCATCTGATTGACTCTAGTTATATAAAGATTTACTTTATTCTATATGATATAAAGAAATAATTATATATTCTATTCAAATTAAAAAATATAAGAAATTCGTCATATTTCTTTTTTAATCAAACGACTTTAGAATACGGTAGAAAGAGATTAATTCTTATCCGAACCATAGAAATTTAGAATACTAATATTGCCAATTTCTGAGGACTTATTAAAATCTCGCCACTAATATAGGATTTCTATATATATATATTCATTATATTTACTATATATTTTCTTTTTAAATAATCTTTTTAAATATTTTTCTTATTATCAAGAAATATAAAAGATATTTTATGAAATATATTATTTATTCTTTCTTGACTAAGATTATTTTCAAACTAATTTCCCGAATTTTAAATCATCTAGAATTATAGATGTAAATAATATAATTTAATATAATATTAAGAACTCGGAAGTAGTAATAATATATGAAATATAAATCCGTGAAGAATATGAATTAATTTTTCCAATCCCTCTCTATAAAGAATTGCAGGAGATCGATGATAAGTGGTTCCGTCTCTTCTCTTTCGATTCTAAATTTTAATTTTGTCGGCTCGGGACCCCCCAGTAAGCCATCACGAAGCTCTTAGAAGCAGCGTCATTGCCGACAAATGGGAAGCTCTTTTATGCAATAAGGGTTCTGACATAAATAAAAATTCGAACTTAGGTGTAGAGATCGCTTAAATGAATAGCAGGGTAAGAGTAGTAGCGAGCCGTAGGCTGAATACAGGCTCCTATCGGAATATTCTCCAATTGTATGTACTCCACTAATTCGCGAATTGTAAAACCCAGATCAAAGTCATGAACAATATCATGCAATATCGCATCCTTCTGGTTTTCCTCTATCGTCTGACTTCGCAGAATCTGTTCTTGTCTGTACTATAAATGCAGACATCTGTGTGTCTTGGACACTCTCTGGAGTGAAACACAAACTAGAGCATCTCGAATCTTCTGTCGAGGCCAGGATGCAAGCACGAACACAAAAGTCAATTTTGCTTGCGATCTACTTCCTCACTGGATCGCAGTCTGCGAGATGTAGCCTGACATGCCTGATCGGTTCTTCTTGCGCGTTCCGCCTAGGGCGGCCTGCGATGACTAGGGGCACGACTTCTATGTACAGTCCTCTGCCAAGTCTCAACTGATCAGAACTACCTCAGCGCAGAACTTCAATCCCGGTCGCCACGCCCAATCGCGCGATTGACTCGAAAAGTTGAATTGCAGTGGAGCTTCACAGTCGTCAGCTCGGTTGCGTGTCTTGTCCCGCTCCGCGAAGCCACCTCGACTGACATTTTGGGTATGATAGCCACCAAGAGAGGTAAGGTGGCATCGCGGAAGCTTCGTCAAGTCACTGGTTGTTTTTGGCCCTCTGCCTGGGCAAAGCTTGACAGGAGCTCTCCTGCCTGCGCTGCTGACATGCCTTCAGCAACCCGGAGCCTCGGCCTTTTGCAGGAGGACTTTTAGCTGGTAGGCATTGCACATCTTCCTGCAACAAGCGGAGGATTACGCTCCCAGCATGGCGAGTGTCGCCCGCACTAGCCTGAGCTCGGCGTTCTCCGTCAGAAGCTCGTAGCAGAGGCCTGGGACATGGCTGTCTCCTTAGGCGGCGGCACATTGACGACTGGGTATCCCCCTTCTGCTCGAGAACATGTGGCCATCGTGGCTGCAGCCGTGCTTCTTGACACCAAGCGGTCGTGGTCTATCCTCAAGGGTGTCTTCCATCTTCAGCGTCTGTTTAACTTTAGCACTGGCATGTGGAGCCGAACCCCGATTCCAGTGCATCCAACTTGCTGAATAATCTGGTCTATCTTGGCATCAGAGCTTGACACCAAAAACGAAAACATTTCATCGTCCTTGGCCGAGGCAGGAACTGGAGGCCTAGGTATACTGCACGTCGCGCACTTTGCAGTTCATTTGCAGCAAGGGCGCAGAATTGAAAGTGAGCCCCTGCCCTCTCAGGTTACATTCCTGGTAGAGATTGTATATTGAGAAGCGTTTCAAGTCCTCGGGGGCAGCTGGCAGTTGCAAGGATCCGTCTGGGCGGAACTTCCACGATCTTTTCGCCCAGCTCACGAAGAACCATTCCGCCGAGCAGCTGCCCATCTCTCCATGATGATTCGAAGGCCTGTTCGGAGAACACTGTAGACTTGCCTGTTCCAATAACTCTCGCTTGCAGACGATGCATTTGAGATTGGTCGAGCTAAGGTGAACACTGGGCATGGAAACGTCTCCGGGTCTTCCAGATCTGACCTTCAAGACCTCGTTCTGCAATCCCAACACCTTTCAGAGTGGAGCAATGACCAACGTCCGGCGACACCAAGCATCTGCTTAGAGGAGTAATTCCACAAGGCGAGGAGCCTGCAGCTTGGCTTCGAAGATTTCGGCAATGCTGTCCTGTGCAAAACGCTCCCCGTGGTCAAGGAAGCGTGCCGAATCTATAATATTGCGGCTTCGGCACCTGGAGCACCTTCGTAAATATGTCATAGGATTTCAGATCCCTGACCTTAGTCACGACACACGGCTTGCACAACCAGCGCCTGCAGACATCAGTCAAAAAAAAGCGAGACCAAACGACATTGTCACGCCACTGCTCTCAGCTTTTGAGAAATGATCTCCGGCTCCTGCTGTAGGTAGGTATCAGCTCGATCTCTGCCTTGGGAAACGATGGTTGAACTCAACTCACGCCGGGGATTGCGAGCTGCCCCATTGTTCGTAAGTGGCGACCCATTCTTCTCTGAGCGCTTGGTGATGTCGAGCAACCCATACTGAAAGGATCGTCTGCTCCAGCAGATGCATGCCTACAGCCCATGGCAGTGTGCAAGGCACAGGCCTTCTGTCATAAATGAAGCCTTCCATGAGTGGTCCGCCGAGAAGCGCTCTCTTGTGCTCAATCAGCTGGCGAGCTGCAACAGTTCTGCGGATCTTTTCCCGTCCTTGGATGGGGGCAAAATGATCCCATGCAGGACGAGACCACTCCCCCCCAGCAAACGCACATCATCTGTTGAAGGCTTCGCTTCAGATTCTGCACACGAGGGGCGGAGTTTGCAATCATCCATGAACAGAGATAGCCTGGAATCAATAGCAAGATGTGTGTTCACATTGAACAGTAACATCACGGGCCACGATTGACCTATTCACGACGCTCTTGCTGCAAGGTGCATGAACTTCACGTTCTTGGTGCCCTGGGCTCACATGCCATCGCTACTGCATGAGAATACAGCACTACCTGACTGTCAGCAAGGCGCCTTCTTCTTTCGTATCTCGAAGAGCTGTGACCGTGCGGATTGAATGAATTTGTCAAGCTCGTAGGAAGCATCTTCTAGCTGATCCAAGCCAACGTAGGTATCCAACTGCATCGCTGTACAGCCATCCTGATCCTTCTTGTCGGCTGAATCATCCGACTGCAGTGGGTTGTCGTTGTACGGCGATCCATGTCTCACCTTCAAGATGTGTTCCCACCAGTCCTGCGTGTTGTCCATGACTTGTCTCATGAGATCAACACCTTCGAAGATATCCCTTTCCATAACATCAGACAACACCACCTTCTCTTGGCCGGCCTCTGCTCCACCCAGGGGTTGCTCAAAGCCACCGATGGTATCTTTGGGCGGCAGTGGCTCAGCGAGCTCCACGAAAGCAATGACGGTCTTCCCCTTGCCCCCAGATCCACCACAGTCTCTGACTACAAGCTTCTGCACTTCCGTGCCCTGCATTCGCATCATAGGTTCCGGCTTGTCCACCACAGCTTTGTCATGCTCCAGTGCCAAACAGCCGTCAGTGTTATCGCCCCAAGCGTACACTCTGCCATGACTGGTCAATGCATAGCTCATGTTGTCCTTAGCTTTCAAGCGCTTGCGCCTTTCACGAGAACACCTACCCCCATCCATTCTAATTGAATTTCGCATGCCTTTTGCGACATAGTGGGCGTGCCGGTAGCACAACTTGAAAAGGATCTTTACACTGTGGGCTCGCTACACTGCTGCCTGGTCTCCACTGCCAAGATTTGTGTGACAGTGTACGGCCTGAGCTCCTCCACTGCGACGGGCTCGTAACGATTCTGTTGGTCACTCAGACCGAGTTGGCCCTTCTCGTTCAGGCCCCACGCATAGACCTCCACAAACTGTGCCGGCATTAACAAGGAACTTAATAATGATGCAATCGACAGAAGAAGAATTGCTTCACCAGGTCAGCCAGAGAGTTGTGTGTTGTGAGATTATGGATCATTACCAAACGCCGAAGCTTGCAGGACACTCGGATACACTCGAGGAACGCCTTCCCGAGGCTCGTCAGCGCGAGCACATGGTGCTTACCATACTTGATATCCACTATCTTTCCTTTGAAGTCAGAGGGGAAGTTGATCTTCTTGGGGTCTTGCACCTCGGATGTTTGTCTGCACGTGTATGTGTTGCAAAAACTACGCATGGAAACAGGCAGCTGTCAAGCTGAGGTGCATTGACCTGTTCGGTGCCAAGCCCAAGACATCCAACTTTATCTTCACCCCAAGACACCAAGCTGCCATCCTGGAGGTGAGTTTTCAAAGTAGGAAACATCGTGGTAGTGGTGTGGGCCAGACGTATTGTCGGTGATGGTCATGACAATTTATTTTCTCTCCGGGAGTACTGACAACATGAGACGACTCTGCAAAGGGCTTTCCGCACTGAACCCCTCGGGAGCTTTCCGGCCGCAAGGCTTGTCCTCCTTGAGTGCAATGATGAAATTCTGCCCAATGATAATGTCGCGAAGCTTTCCCGGCACTTTCTGCGTCAGGAAGGGGGCCTTGACAACCTGCATGGTCTAGCGCTACAACAACAGCACAGGCTTGTCTGGTTGGTGCACAAAAACACATCCCCAACCAGTTGCTCAATTTAATCACATCCACACGCTTGCCCCAAATACCCCACAACCAAAAGTTGTTCTCCGGGTTGTTGGGCGCACCACCTGCCGAGCAGCTGACAGCACGTGTGAGTACAATTCACTGATTGCTTGCGGGCGCGGGGCCGTTCTGACCGGTCATCTTGGCAACGTCGCTTGCTACTGGGATGCGTGGAAAATTTTCGAGCCGTCAACGAACCCATGCCCCATTCCCCATGCTGCAGGACAGAGCAGCCCTTCGCTGGTGGACCTTCGGCTCACAAAATGCCTCATAAGTACTGTACATGCTTGAGACGATTTAATTTTTGTCCGTGCGCTGGACGGATAGCACGATCCTCTGGCGGATGCTTGTATCGATTTTGCGTGCATGCGCATTCGCACCAGAACCTGTCAGGAGGCCTGTTCCGGAATGCCCTTGCAAAATCTTGTCAAGGCCTGGCCGGGCTCAGCCTGTATGGCTCAGCCAGTTCAAAGGGTAAAGGCAGGCAGCGAGGCCTTGATAACGAAACTTGCAGCTGGCCGGCTAGCCATGCACGCTCTGCAATCTACATAAGGCTCGAAACGATGGTGAAACACAGAACTCGCAGGAACAAGCGGAGCTCTGGTAAAACCTCTTGACGCATTCAAACGATGTGCTGCGCTCTTCGGCCGCTAAGAGCCGGTGATGCTGGCAGCAAGCGCACGAACGATGTCCAAGGCAGAAATCACACCAACCTTGTCATGACCAACCAGGACATGCAGCTCACTGCACCCAACTATTCCTTCGGGCCTCACGTGGCCTCACCTATACACGGCACATGCACAGCAAGAAGCCAAGAAACGATCTTGGACCTAGCTGGCTCCTCCACGAGCAGGTGGTGGATACCCGTCTTACTCATGATCGCCTTCGTAGGGTGGAGGTGGCATTCTGGAACAGCAAAGCCATCGATTCTATTTATCGGGGAAAAGATGCCGGTAATTTCGCGTTGAAGAGAAGTTCAGATGTGGCACTAGACTCAAGCTGAAACGAATGCTGATGACGCCCTACACATTGAGCCCAAGGCCTCAACCCAACCCGCTCGCTTTCCAAATAGCTCCTGCTGAAACCCTGAGGCTGGGCATGCGCTACATGTGCTTTCAAATCCGGTGATGTAGAATGTAGATGTACTCATATCGAAAAGCTCCCGGGAGTTTCAGATACAGACACACCAAGTGCACACACACAAACACAAACAAAACACGCATGTATGCATACACGCCTACATACACAATCATACATAGTCATTCATCATCACATCACATGCATGAAGGCAGGCATGCATTGGGGTAAGGATGTTCATACGCACGCACGTTGTGTATGCATACCATATCATATCATATATATATATACATGTGTACATAATCTGTATGCAGGCATGCATCTTTGTATGCACTTATGTATGCACAGGATGGTTATGTGCTCATGAGTTCACGGTGTCTGTGTGTGCACTAGGTGTACATACCAGTCCGTGCAGGTGCCCTTATACATCTCTCAACATTGTGCGCGCACTCACAAAGACTGAGGTTCCCGCGGCAGCATCTGCCAAAGAACTCTCTGAGGAAATGAAGCGATGTTCGGGGCTGATGCCTGACCTTGCGCGACATCTTCCGTCTTGAAACACCCGCGAAGCGTACCCCTTGCTGTTGTTGCGAGGCAAGGTGCTTATGCAGCCATTTCCCCAAGCTTAAGCTTCTGCAGTTGACCCGCTCCGAGATGGCCCGCAAAGCGTCACCTGGTGTGATGGCACCGCCCACTATGGCGTGCTCCATGACTTGATCACCTGAGGACCAAATGACGCAGTCTTGGGCAGAGTCGGCGCTATCCAATACAGCTCGAAGTGCGCTCCTCTTGAATCCAAGGTCGCCACCTTCTTCCTCTTGCTGTCCCTCATCTTCGGTCGATGTAGGAATCGCAAGGACACAATTCTGGTTCGAGCTGTGCAAAAGGTCAAGCGCATCCCCGAGGCTATCTGCGAGAGTACCTGCAAGCAGGAAGTGACATCCAGGCCTTCAAATTTAGCGTGAATACAGGTGCAGTCTGCCATGTTTTGGCCGCCGTGGGGGAGCGACTTCTGGCAGCCTGCCGCACCTTCATGACTTCTGCACCGGAGACCCTGGATATGCGATACAAAGTAGGCTCAACCCAAGACCACGAGCTTTATATTGCTCAAACATGACACTGTTGCGTACGGGTGTGATTCGAAGACTAACCGCGACCCGCAAGCATCTGGGCTTCGGAAGATGCAACGTCTGGGCTAAGCCGAGAGGCAACTGGGAACTTGCGATCGGGGCTTCATGGCATGTGTCACTGCCAATCTTGCCACCTCCAGCGCCTCCAGAAATGACGACTTTCACTTGGCACTTCTGCACTAAGAGCCGGCTGCCGACATATGCACTCTCAAGCCAAAGAAGCTCCTGATTCTGAACCGATTTGCTTTCTACTTCTGGTCACTCAATTCCCACTGGTTAGCAACGCAGGCCTGGTCGCCAATGTGCGCAGAAGCTGCTACGAGGAGGCCACGGGCAATGTCCAGCGCAGAGAGCAAGGCAACATTTCGATCGGTGTCCCCCGGGTCTACCAACAGATGATGACAAGCGAAGTCGCCTTGAAGCAGGTCACAGATGCTGGTGGCAGGCTGCCTTGCACAGACTTGATGCCGCCCACGGCGCCATTCGTCATCACAGCCATGCGGGCTGCAGCATCAATAAGTGGCACATCCGGCTGAAGGGATAGTGGGGGAACCAGGAAGTTGGGCAATCGCGCCTGCTCCGCTTCAACGACACGCAACACAGTCACATCAGGAACGCTGATTCAACTTGTTTGACACACTGAAGAAAGCGTCCTCGCCACCATGAAGCCATTGGCCGACCGTGCAGCTGGAGGGCGTCCCTTCCACGAAGGCCAGCCTCTTCCCGAAAATGCAATAGGAGCAAGCCACTCCGGCAACAGCTTTGGCAAACGACACGGTGTTGATAAATCGCCAAGGCATGCCAAGGCACAACATGTCGTTCTCTGTCAGTACCCCGAGCACTGTCTTCTCTCCGTTTTCTATGATCGCGGCCGTGCGTCCAGTTGACTGCAACAGATTGCTGGCCGAATCCAGGGTGTCATCCGGCGAGCAAAAAGCTGTTGGCCGGCTGGCTGAGATGCTGCCCACCTTGGTCAGGTTCACTTTGCTCGGCGGCGACTGCTGCGGCAGCCGCAAAATCACAAGAAAACCGCTCTCAAATGTCTATGCTCGGACACCAGAACGTCGCACCGCACCGGGGAATCAGCGACCGTCATGGCTATGTTGCACAAAAGGCTGTACCGTCAATGACGATCATGTTCAACCATGCTCAAACCGTGGAGCCCACCTTCGGTACGACCAAAAGTCTGCAGTGAACTGCTGTAGCTTCTTCGTCGAGTGAATGGAGAAATGCTTCTGGTGCTGGTGCGGATGATGCACTTTATCTTCGGATTCTGCTGTGACCCATGCGCTGCGCTGCGCAACTCGTTTGATCACTCAACCCTACCCGCCACGGTTACATATACGGTAATCAATTACCCTCTCCAGATCAGAATCCGCACTTTTCCACATCTGCCACTAAGTCAGGGAGCCTTGGGCTGAAGATCCGTAGCAAGATGTTCTTGCCACTTAGTGGCACCGCACAGTCTATCTCTGGAGGATCTCACCAGGCATGGCCGTGTCGGTTCAAATGTAAATTCTTCAATGTCCTCGGCCCAGCAAAACAAGGCAATGGCGATCTCGGGAGATTCCGCTCACAAAACTAGACCGGCTCTATCATTCCAACCTCAGGATCTGCAGGCATCTCGTGCTCTCAGGATTTAGAACTGGCCCTTATGGCGAAGTGTGGCCTGGTTCGTGGCTTTGCTTGGCTTGACGCCTCTGCCTCGGTGCGACTGATAACGCGGCCCAAGAAGCCTGATGCAGCGGCCAAGGTATTCCGAAGCCTCGACGAAATGAGCATGGCGATTGCTGCTCATGGAACATAAGTTGACTTCCCACTTTCACAACACTGCCGTCATTATAAAAAGGCAGGCTTTGGGGACAAGATGCCAAGCTTTCTTCACGGCGGATTGTGCGGCCTGCACAGAAGCCATGTCCAGCCGAACCGATTCGAACGTCTCCATGTTCATTCTGCTGTGTCCATTTCCAAGCTACATGAAACTGGGAGCACCGCGAGCAACACTGGAGAAAGAGCGTCTGACAAATCAACACCTCGAAACCAAACTCACTGCTGTGCTCCTGAACAAAAACCACCCAAGGCGCCCCCACTCGCGAGAAACAAACCTAGACGTACAGGCCTGATCGGCACGGCGATCCTCCTTGACAGAATCTTTGGGGCGGGTTTCTCAGACTGCAGGATCCAGTCAATCCGTCTCAAAGCATCGACTCCACGATTAAATCACTGAGAAACTGAGTCCCGACACTCAGCCTGGCCACCCCGTGTGTCATCATGTCGCATCCACCCCGGGATCCCTTCAGACACCCCAGTCCTTGTCTGCTTGATCCTCCTCGTGTCCGGGTTCTTAGCTCTGCGGCTGTGCATGGCAAGCAGGATGCAGCCAGCAACGTGCACATGATACATGGTTCTTGTGTATACGTGGCCTATAGAATGGCTGAGGCATCAGCCGGGTTCGAGGGCAGTCACGTAGCACCGAAGTCTGTTCACACCCATGGATGCATAGAAGTGCTCCGTCACCGAATCCACCATTCTGTCACCTGCGGTCGTTCCAAACAGGCTTGTACAATTTCTCCGGATTGAAGATAACTCATTCGTAAGCCCCCCTCGCTTCACAAGGATTTTAATCGTCGTCCCAAGGTGGAAAGCATTGGTTAGCGGAACGTGGAGCAAAGGCCAGCAGGCGCAGCCGCTAAGGCAAGACAGTAGAGTAGAGTATGGAACAGTTAATTTCATGGGGAAGGTCACATGCCGAAAAGCTGACCCAACTGGAGCTATCTGTCCTAGAGGCGGGAGCCGAGAAGCCACCTGCAAACAATTGCATGCTGTGGCATGTGCAGCAGAATTGTTCCTGTGGCAACTGCTGTCCTCACAGCATGCTGAAGTCCTTTCCCCCAAGCTTTATGACTGACGCTCGTCGTCAATGGAGGAGGTTCTGGTTTTCATGGAGCATGAGATGTTTGCTTCAGGCTGGATCGCTTGATTTGCTACACTTCCTGGTGGGATCTGCTTCCCAATCCTGGGCGAAGCAGCCAAGGCCGTATCGTGCTCATGTTGACTGGTAGTGGCGGGCCGAACCGCCACTCAGCAACGAGAAAGAAAGCAAGAGAGCGAGCAAGCACGTACGCAAGAGAGAGAGAGGGAGAGAGTAACTTGAGAGGGACACTCCACTAGGTACCCGACGAACAAGTGGCTTTTCCTCCAAACCACGACTTCACTGGTCTAGCCCTGCTCAACCCACGGTCAAGCTTGTTTACGGAGCCAGGTCAGAGCAGCGGCTATTGGAGCTAACCGAGATTGCCACTCGCCCAGTGGCTGGCATGGCATTTGCAGGTGGTGCTAGGGTTCGACATCACAGCAGACCACGATGAGACCAGGAGGAGACCACCAGCAGACCCCGGGATGCCACCAGGACCACCATCACCAACAGCCTTTCCTCCATGTACTAGCGGGATTCAGGGTTCTAGTTCTAGTTATAGGGCCGCCATTATCACAATGCTTCCCTGCCTTGTCTGATGGGTTTTGAGCGTCGCATGTACCGGCGGCTTTCAGAGCCGATGTTGGGTGGCTTGGAGCTTTTTCAGGGCACCACGGCCAAAATGCTTCCATTGCTTCCCCCGATGTATCCCGACGTGCTGGGGGGATCAGCCGTCTCGAGGCCACAATGAGGCCAATGCCTTGGAATTTAAAATATAACGCGTTTAACACTATCCAACTGTCTTTACTTCATGTAAGAGCGCAGAAGTTTGTGCCACACTGTTTGGTGAAATGCCACGTCTGATTCGTGGCATCGGTTTGGCCTCTGCATTCACATACAAATGGCTCCTTTCCGCCCTGCTTGCATTGACAAAAGACGTCACTTTCACGACAAGCAACCGGAGCTGGATGTACAAGGGCGGGTAAATGGCCAGACACAAGTAACATTATAACTGGAGATATCACCAACACTCCCATGCAGCCTTGATTAAGCTCCTGGACAACACCTGGATACAAATTCGTTCGTCTATATAGAAGAAGGCTATGTATGCTATGTCAGTCACACTGAGCGCAGAGCAGTGGAGGCTTCTTGCTGGGGGCTTTTCCTTCTGGAAGTGGGAGTAGAACCACTGCAGGAACTCTTCGAAGTCCACACAGCCGCTACCTCCGAGTATCTGTAGGGCCGTGATGTAGCTAAGAGAAGTTTGGGGGGCTTTAAGCATCTCGCCATCTCTGTCCACGATGTTCCAGAGTGCTCGAAGGTGGCTGTCTTGAAGCATCCTGACTTGCACGGCTCAGGTCTAATGCTTGGGTCTACAGCATTTGAAACATTCAGCTGGGCTGCACGTCTTGCTTTTGGCCCAGATGGCGGTAGGTCAACGCTCGGACCACGCACTTGAAATCGGTGAAGTTCAAGAAGCCCCGATTCTCCGTGTCGTACCGCTTGAACCTGCCGACGGCATCTTGCAAAGCACACAAGTCATTCGGATCCACATGAAGCAGATACCAGGCTGCAGCCGTGCGACTCTTTCAGCACCTTGGCTTGAAACGCCGTCCTGCCACCTACTACAATTTGTTGGCTTGTCCATCTACGGCCACCTAGATGCTTCCCAATACGCAACGTGCGTTCAACACCCTGTGCTAGTTCGTGTGACAGGTCTACTGACAGTGCTGAGACTGCATGTGCCGACAAATGCTGCCTTGCCGCCGTTTCCGTGTAGTCAATAGGTATCCGGTACTTCCGTGCCAGCTTTCGCGTCGAACGCTCCATTTCATCGACCCAGCGCTCATGGAACATGATCGTGGTGGACAGCTTGCCTGGGCTCGCCGCCATGCCGTGACCAAGTACAGTACATTTTGGCACTCGCACTCGACAAGCAGGCGAGGGTCCAGATTCTCGGTAGGTTTCAGAAGTTCAGGCGCATTAGTACAGTACATTACATGACCCTACGAGCTGTGCATCAACAAACAGATCTGACGAACGGATCGCTCCTCGAGTGCTCTCGTGTGTGAGTCAACTGGCAGTGTGTGACAACACTGAAGAAAGTCGTAACGGCGACGCGCGTGGATAATGATGATGATGATGGTGCTTCGGGTAGCGATCATGATGACGCATGCTAGAAGCCACGGTAGCCCTTTCTGTAGCACTAATCGTCAATGAACAGTACTGATGCCCCGACACACCACCGAAACCGAGGCAAGTTGAGGATCTTTGTAAGAATGGATGGAAGGGACAGCACCGAAACAAAATGTGAAGACTCATCTGACGACAACTCCACGGCCTTTCGATGCAGACAAGAGCAGACAAGGCACGAGCTGGAACTGGAGGACGCAGCAGCTTGCCGTATACAACCAACGGCTGCAGCAGGCGCATATTGCCTCGAGCATGGCGGACTGTCTGCTCTTGCGACTAACAAGCAGTGATCTTGCCCCTTACGCCTTGCACAGCGTGCAACTGCAGGAGAGGTGCCGGAGGCCGAATGCGACTCATGAAATGTGATTCGCAAGAAGCCTTAGGACATGATTTGCAGCAGTGTGGGACCCCCGCTTCTTGCAAAGGACATTTTTTGATCAGCACAGGGACGCGTGCGAACGGGCGGGAACCGCAGAGTGTGCGAATACCGATCGCGAGCCTGTGGACCGGACTTCAAAGATGCCTCAGGCACGAAGCCGTGCGGCCGCACAGCTACACGGCGATGTCAAGCAAAGCTCGGACGGAAAATGCCACAACGGTTCGGCCAGGTCTCTCTTGCAATCACGGCCCAGGTTCCCTTCGTAATCAATGCGAGTGTGTTCACCGCACTGGCTTCAGGTGATCTTTGTGCCTCGCAGGCGGCATCTAACCCTGGACCCTCACTCCCTTACCTTGCGCTAAAATCAAGCGTCCAAAGCTCGCACCTTGCCAACCGACGGGCCATCCCTTGACTATCTGCATGCTTGTATATGCTTGTGTTGGGATTTGATGGGCAACAGCATTCTGCAGTGTCGGGCAGCCGATAGACTGACACTCTGTGCTATCCTGCGCTTTACCTTGACTCTAGCCGAGATGTGGTTCCAGGGCACGTACTGTAATGGCAGACTAGAGTATCAGGAGGCATCGCACCAGCCCTGAAGCAGGTAGAAGGTGCGAGCACGCCATCACCCATACTCTACCGCGAAGGTGTATGCCTTCAAGGATCTTCGCCCGTACATGCTTGCCATGACCCCCTCGTATACATTATAGCATCCATCGGTCAGAGGCTTTCGCTGCACCCCTGCGCCACCCACATTCCCCTCGTAATTCTGGTCGGGTACAGGCAGGCTGTGCCACTCCGGTCTTTGGGAATCCTGCCATGCCGATTGCCTTTGCCTTCGACTGCAATCCGACTCCTGACGACTCCCACTAGCTCTCATGGCACAAACAGCTCCAACAGCGATCACAGAATTCTGCCATGTGAGGCTGCAGCTCTACAGCTGTCAGCAGCTACCGTGCGTGTCTTGCCTTTGCCAAGTTCATCTGCTCTTGGTGAGTCGCTCTCTGCTGTCGTGGTGCTCAGCATGATGCTACCTGGCCTCTTCTGCCTGCCGGTTATGCTCTTCGACAACTTCGAGGACGCCGATGACAGCGCGCATGACAGTAACACTCTTGGGATCGTAGAGCGTTCCAGTGCAGCGCAATTTTACCCTGGTGATCTCCTTGTGCCAGGGCGGGTTCGGCAACAAGAAGTCTTCGGGCACTGGAGCGCAGCTGAGACGGTATGGCTTGCTTGCCACGACTTCTCAAACAAGACAAGCAGCAGCTTCCATGCCAAAATCAAGGAACAGGAAATGCTCCGGTGCAGCATCCGTCTCCCATTGGTTCGCCATGCTTGCGCCAGACTCCAGCTCGGCGAGTTGCCGCGAAATCGATGCCTCGGAGAGCTGGGACCAATTTCCCCCCAATTCTTGGACGAGTGCCAATAAATATTTTGTCTTGGTTCGATAGACTCGGCTCGCCTCATGGACAAGAAGATTTGCAATGTCAACACCAAGCCCTCTACTACCTGGAGCGCAAGCGCGTGCTATCATCTAACCTCCCCCACATCGACTGCGGACTTGGGTCATATTCTAATTATCTCGGTGAAAGTGGTGATGCGAAAAATCGAACCGTGTGGGTGATATACCTCATAGTCTACAAGTTATCCGTTTCGCACAGCGCACTGAAAGTTCCTGGCCTGGTCGGATGGAGGCTCCAGGTTTTGTGCGGCACAGCGATAGCTCCGCTTTTGCGAGCTCCAGCCTCACAGACTCACTGAGGTGTTCTACATGATCTATCTGTCTCTTTCCGGTCATACCAGGCCTGGCATCATGCTGCTTTCGAAACTGCTAAAGGCATTTAATTAAGGCTTGGAATGGTCCTGTTATCAAACGGAACTCAGCGTCCGAGAGATGGGACAGCAGTAAGCTACATCAGCCATCTCGTGGTGACAATATGCCGTTGAGGAGCTGATGACTCGAAATGGCAGAGGTCCTTTTTCTCGGGCCTTCTTTTGTTCCCCACCTCCTTTTCCGTCAATGTGACTGGCTCGAATCTTCGCTCGGGAACCTTGACACCCGAGCTTCTATCCAATTTCTGTGAACAGCGCACAAGACCCGAGCCCCGACCTTTCTTTGCCGCCTTGTTGATCGTGAAGGTCGTCTTCCGACCTTTGGCAACAACACTTGACCACTTCCAGTGCCCAACCCTAGTCCAGTCCGGCCCTGCACTGAAAACCGTAACATGACCTCGATGGTTTCTTCCAAGCGTGCTCTACTCTGGGCTGCGTACCAAATCGATATGATGCTCGATTGTCGTCTTGATCGACTCCTGCATGTCTTACGCAACCAGACTGTGACCGCATCACGCAATGAAAGAACGACTGTCCGACTCCTTTCGGTGTCTTTCCATCTTCTGATAATACTGACAGCGTCGCCTCTCCTGAGAGAAAGCGCATGCTACACCTTCTGCTATAAACTATCTACTAGGTTTCTAGGAAACGACTTTGCGCCAGAACTCGTTGCAGAACGTGTTGAAGGCACTGAAGGCACTGTCAGAACTACGTAAACGCACGAATGCACAAAGACGGGCACCCCGCACTTGTCCCGCAGAAGCCTCTCTCAATTCCAACTGCCCTTTCCATTTTGCTGGCTTCCAGCAGCATTATCTGATCCGTCGTGCTCTTCTCCTATCTTTGCCCCTTGCTCATGCGCAGGCACTTCCCAATCCATGGATTGATTCGCGCATTTCCTGGCGGGAGCTGCTGGCTTGCTGCAACCGGACATGCGCTACAGGCGACCTCGAAGAGGACCAGGGGATTGTTAGTTTGTTCCTTTTGTTAATTTGTCGGACTTGTGCTATAAGCAGTACACGACCACTACCTTTGGGCCTGCGTGCTTACTTGCTCTGCATTCAAAGGCCTCTGGTATCGTGCATCGAAGTGCACTGGCTTTGGATATAAGGGCGCTTGTCACGAAGCCGAGTCCGAGGTCTTGAGAGGTCTGTTAGGCGGCGTGACGGCTTGATCCATATCAACGGGAAGCCCTGTCGACGAGGGTTTGGCTTGAACCTCGTGTGCGGGACCCCGAGGACTCACTGCAACGACAAGTTCCGCACCGCAGCTACGTGTCGTATACCGTCTTCCATGGTCTAACGATTCCACACGCGACTGACTCACCCCGCAAACAAATAAGCTCTGTTCAGGCTTTATGTTATGTCACCCGAAGCGGCAAAGTACCATGGACACATACGCAGGCTGATGTCGAAAGTCATGGAATGTGCAAGATGCTGAATCAACATCCATGATGTGAAATAGCATGTGGCCCAAACTCTCTATCCTTAGTTCTTTCACGAGCCTGTGGCTCTGTGGTCGTGCGGATTGAATGTCTCTGCGCGCTTTGTATGCGCTGCGCAAGGTCTCTCTGCATGCAGTGCCTCTTTCTTCCTCTCGCCTGCTTGCGACGGGTCCACGTCCTGAGTCGGTCCTTTCAATTTTCGATGTGCTCGCCGACAGTGAGCCGTCCGTCAAAGCCTGTGGTACGGCGAATCTCGGGCTCGAATCAGTGATTTTAGTGGCTCCTCGACTCCTTGACAGAGCCGACCTTTGCACATGATGCTTTCCGAAACCCCTCTCTGCGATGCTCTCTCCGCTTCTAATCGGGTCTTTCTCGCATGGTTCCTCGCTCCTGCCTGTCCTGTCTTGACCCACAGCTCAATTCGGGCCAGCACTCAAGAGGCTTTTACCCTCCGTGGCATTCTGCCACGTCTTTCTGAACAACAAGATTACTCTTCTTTGCAGGTCCAGTCCTGATTTCCGTTGTTCTGCCTCGGTGCACAAGCTGGATCTGCTTTTGCGCATGCGTGCAGCCAGTACTCAGGCTGCTCAGAATTCGCAGCTGTTCGTTGTGCCAGTAAGACGCCAGCGGCCAAAATCAAAGTGCCGAACAAGAGCTGCAAGATTATCGCTAAATATGGCTGAGTCATCTAGGCAATCTAGCCACGGGCTCCACGACTGCGCCTGCACATCCTACATCTCCTACTTAATGACATCTTGTGAGCGAAGCAACATTTTGTCTTTCAGCGTAGCACGGAGGCGTGGTGCCTGGCTTGCTATCTCACCTCAGCTGAATAACTCCGTGGGGACGAACCGTTCAAACGAAGGAGTGCCTTATGCATGCCAGGAGCCGTCTTCCGATGCAATGCGACGCACCAAGCTGGGACGCGAAAGCGAGTCGCGAGGCGATTGACCGGAGTCTTTGCCTGAGGTGGGAGTTTCAGAAAATTAGGGTACCTTATTTTGGGGTCCTTATAATAGGGATCCTATTATTTCGACTCACACACTCGCACAAGGCAGGCATGGTGAGGTTCCTATTAGGGTCCCCTATTTTCGGAAACCCCCAGGTGGACAGAAAATAAGAAAGAGATGCGCCATATGCCTACCTACAGCACGTCATGATTTCGGGCGTTGCCTTTGACATAGCGCCTGCATACACCTGCAACCCTGGGCGGGTTGGGGGGCCTCTACGTACTGTAGACATTGTACACGTCTCGGGTCCGAGACATGGCAAAAAGCTGTTTTTTGTCAGGTGCTGTTGGTCTCTTCGCGGCTTCCACACCTGGAGAGCACCGGTGGAATCGACCGCACCGTCTGAGTCGTTTCGTCCACTTCTTCCTCAGCTGTACAAAACTGCCGAACGTCTCACGATCTGTTCTGGCACCGATTCATGCCAACATGTTAGCCAATACACTGACTCTACGAGGCAGCTGCCCAGCAGGTCGCAGCCTTTTTACATCTCAGCGTCTAATTGCTCCTGCCACCCCCCACCAGGTTTCTCGAATCTGCGCCGGTGCTCTTCCCGATGACCGAAACTTCGCTTGAAATTGAGGGTGTGGATAGCGCTTCTTCTGCAGAACGTGCTACAGGTGCGCTGCGGCAGATCGTCACATGCACTGCATGATGCAGGTCAATCAAACATGTGGACGAGCATCTTCCGAGCTCTCGCTGCTCGACGGCTGGCCATCTCCTCCAACATGCTGCCAGACTTGGGGCATCGCGTCACGACAGAAAGCTGTGCAAACTGCAGCTCCTCCCAATTCGCCTCCGGCGTCTTCAAGCTCCCGAAGGTCCAGCGTCGAATTGCCCTTCTGAATGGCAGCTTGAGGACTCGTCGGAGTCGGCGATGCCTGCGGCTCGTCTTCGAGCTTGCCCCATAGGTCAAGGCCTCGACGAGTCGAAGCTCAGGCCAAGAAAAGGCGCCGCAATACTTTCATCGAAGTGCCATCGAGCCTTCAGAATCGCTCTTCTGGCCTCTTAGCCCGGCCAAAGACTTCCTCAGATATTCTTCGAACGAGCAAATGATACTCACTAGTAGCAGGTGTGTTTTTGCGTCTGTCTTGCGTCAGCGGCATGAGCCTTCGATGCTTGTGCGCTGCATCGAAAGGCTACACTGACAGAGGCCGAGGCCACGTGATGTGCTTCTGTCTGCCATGAGAGCTAACTGTCAAGTTGACATAAGCTGACATCGTCGACTTGTAGTGGTACGTAGGGGCGTCGTGCAGCATCAGAGCTTTTGTCTCGAGCAAGTATTCGGACTTTTCGACGGAATGTTGACCAGCAATTAAGGCAAGCAGCCCGGCCAAAGGTGAAAAAGTTCTCTTCACAACGCTCGGACGCTTGTAGCGGCTAATCTCCCTGTGAAGCGTCTGAACCTGAGATCAGCACTTGGCACGGGTCCCATACTTGCCCGCTGAACTGCCGGGATGGTGCCTTGCCGGTTGCAATCTCGGATTCGGTGCAGCGGGCTCGCTCCGTGAGAAGCCTTGACCTCACGAAGGCTGGCATGCACTTCCCGGCATGCATTCATGCACACCAGCATCAGCAGTAAGAGTCCGACAACGGCTGACCCAGGACGCTGCCCTGCCCAGCCATGATCTTGCGCATCATGGCCATATGCGGAGTCCATCGAAGCTTTTTGTCTTGTCCTTCGTTCACATGAAGAGCCACTGATCGAAACGCGGCCCGGGCAGAACTTCCGAAAACTTCCAAGCCAGGGGCGTTGAACTGTGTCGGCGGGCGTGAGGGACGAGAATGCCAGCTCTCCGGCTGGACCACCTTCTGCAAGGCGGCTTCCCTCATTTCTGTGGCATCAGTGCACGCAGACCCGGGTACACAGACAGGAAAGGGTGGAAAAGGCCTGAACTCAGAAGCAAAGCACGTACGGGACTGTCACTCATCGCAAATGATCTGAGAACGCTGTCGACTTACATATTAAAGTCGTCGCTTGCGGCTTCCGATGATGCCAAGGTCGACTGCTGCCCTTACCAGGTACCAGGTAACGGGAGCAGAAGAGACGAGGGGAGCCACCTTCCCGCCAGGTGCATAACTCCAAGAAGTTGCTCCGCATCGGCATGGTGCATGAGCCCGCACTTTGGCGATGGCTGCGACGCTTGCATCCCGGGCCGATCCGTCAATCATGCAGGAGATCAGCTTTAACCAGCCCTTCACCACACCTATCCGTAGCTGCTCGCGAGGAGAGATTGCACTTTCATTGCAGGTAGCAATAGGCGCAGCACAAGGCTAAGGGAGATCCATACTCGAACTTGTTGATTAATGTTGGACTTTGCTGCGCAAAAACTTATGACAAGGCTCAGACAATCCTGCATCCGTGAGCCCATGGCTAGCCAGTTGAAGGCTATCAGCTGGACCGGGATTGAGGGCTGGCAACAAAGACTCAGCAGCTTGCGCTGATCATAACTTGTGCCGCCCGCTTTTTAATCCTTACTCACGGAGACTCCCGAGGCAAGGCTCATCCGCCCTGCTTCTTCTTTCTCGCATACTCCATGGCCTGGCTCGAGAGCTGCAGGTGTGGCCCGCGACCTAGGGCCCTAGGCCTTTCCGAGCCTTCAACATGGAGTCCGAGACATCCTTGTCGGTTTCATCTCGCCCTGTACGCCGTAGTCGACGGAAAACGTTTTGAAACGTATCCAGGTGGTCCTGGCTCTCGTGCACGTGATACCTGCAGCCGCAGATTGGAGCAAGACAGCTACGCATGAGGCCCTCCATCTTCGTGCGGCAGTGTTGCAGCCTGGCATTGTCTTCCACCCGATCGGATGGAATTTCAGCATACCTGGGCGTCCACTAGAACAGCTCGACTGGCTTGTTGTTGACCCTCGGGTCATGCACAAGTACAGTGATAGATGTTGAATGGGCATCAAGATGCATGCCAGGGCCTTCTGTCGAGCCCAACTGCTGACCTGTGAGCGTCCGGACTCAGACTCACGGCTCCAAAGTTCAGCCCAAGCGGTCAGCAATGAACATCTATGAATATGGCCATCAGTTAGAAGCTATATCTCTCTTCTTCAACAACCAGGCCCAAAACAGTTCAAACTTTTTGGTATAGACCTAATATATAAGGCAAAAAAAGTTTAAAGTTCTCCTGTTGGCTATCTGAGACATGTGATGGCGTATCGTGGAGCATGACACCGTCAAGTGCCTGACTCTCTATGATACGAAGCAGTATTGCCACAGCGGCTCGCACCATCAACAGTACATTCATGCAGTGGCCGTGGCAATACTACCGGTCTTGCCCGGTGCTTGAAACCACAGAGGCTGAGCTCGGTAGCCAATACACTACTACCACCGCCACCATCAGCATCGGCGCCATCTTAATGTCAGAAGATGATAAGCTATGTCAATGAGACATCACGCGTGACATCAGCCACTAACCACAAGACTCAGGACCAATTATTGTCAGGCCACGGCACTTTTTGCATCAGGACTTCGTGGCATCAAGAACAGGAATGTAACAGTTCTCAAGGTAGTCATAATCTCCACAGTACAAACCAAAAAAATGTTAGTCGTACATCAGCTGAGGGGCTGCTGGCTTTTAGCTGCGATCGATTACTCAGGCGCGAGTCTATGCCTCAGCTGGAACCCTCCCCGCTTGGCCATCACGACACCCACGCTTGCCGCAAGATCCAAACGGCTTTGAACCAGAGAAGCTGAGGCACTGGAAGCCTGGTCATCCTCAGGTGCCTTTCTCGGCCAGCACTGATGTCAAATACGCATGCTGCTACTGGCTCAAGCCTGTCCTCCGTGTCCGCAATAGGGAGTATCACCCCCTCAACAGAGCATCTTCCACGATACGGCGTCGCATCTGATGTGGAGGCCTCCAAGACACTACTGTAGCGGGCTGACACAAGGCAAGTAGGATACGGTGACATCTTCCTGCTTTACATGCACACCTCGTCCTTCTCATCTCTGCCTGAGCCAGCACTGCGTGCACACCCAGGCCGGCACCTGTGAGGACATCATGGGACCATCAACGACTTCAGGAATTGACACGAATGGAACACCGGTCGAGGCACCAAAACAGCTTTTGAGGCTTCCTGTGAGGAGATAACCAACGGCCTTGGCAAGACCCACTCTGCAAGCAATGACAAACCTAAGTCTTAAGTCACAAGCTTGCTTGAAATACCTCTACTACGAAACACATGCTCTGCCAGCAAATTAAGTCTCAAATGCCCAGCGCGCTCGCTGTCCGTGTGGCCACGCCGAGGTGTGAAGCTGCCATCAGCTTCTCATGAATGCAAATATGTTCATAAGCGGTGCTGTGCTTTGCCTGGTGCAGTGATGAGGCAGTCTTCACCAGAATTTGTTGTCGTGTTCACCTGCTTTCTCCACGAAACTGCGCACAAACATCTCCTGGAAACCAGCTGCTGCAGAGGCCCTGCGGTATCGTGAAGAACTTTCACAAGTTTAGGGCTTCGGCTAGCTTCCTTTGCAGGGCTTCGGGGCAGGGCCAAGATCTCTCCAGCATTATGAACCTGTGGAGCCGCGACTCAAGCGTCGGCGCTGCACGCCTGCAGATCAGAATAATGCGGCCATGGCGATTTTGTGCTGCAGCGTGTTTCGATGAAGGGGTCTGGGAGATGGGTGTCAGTCTCAGGTGTTTCTGAAGGAACAAGACGAATTTTCGCTGCTGCTGCAGGAAATGCATGTTCTTGCTGTTGCCGCAGGATTGCCTTTTCTTGACTGTTGCTGGCTGAAGCCGTGCTGCCGGCCCCTTGTTTGATTTTCTTGTTGCTCCTGGCTGCACTTGTTGAGCGGTCGGCGAGGTGCCGTGGGTGGTTAGGTCGGGTGGTTGTTGGGTCTGGTTGGGTTGTGGGTGGGTGGCTGGGCCCCAAGGGCCTCTGCGTGTGGTCGGACCCGGCGCTCCGCGGACATCGCACCATGGACCTTGTACAAGTGGGCAACCCGTCGAGGCATTCATAAGTGTTGGGTTTTAGGATGTTTTGGGGTTTATAGGAGTTGGGGTTAAGGCTCCGGGGATCGCAGAAGTTGGCTGAAATGAGCGGCCAGGAGTCGCGAGATCTTGTTCGCGGCGACAGGCGGTGCTACATGCAGGAGTTAGCGCTGTACAAGTGCAGCAACCATTCAAACGATGCGGTCGCTTGATTAAAAGGCACATGCATGGCCACATAGCCTTCCAGAGTGGAATTCCTCTCGGCCACGCTGATTCTGTCCCTGAAGCTACTTAAAGAATCTTTAAAGCTGAAGCCAAAAATCGAAATCGCGAGCATTCTGGGCGCAAGCACGGCTGGCTAAACAGCTATCACCGTTTGACACCACTTTAGACGACCCGTCCTCATTATTGCCGCATTTATATGTGTGAGATTTTGTGAAGAAGCCGTGCCACCACGCCGACAGCTCGCCAAAACGTGCAGTGCATCTGACAATGATTCGATAAACGTTTCCTCGTCGATGCTGCTTCAAAGCGTATGATGACAAGCAGGCTCACCAAGGGCCGAAGTTTTGTACCCGGGGCTTGGTGGCCTTCGTGGAGCTCTGCTTGGCCTGCTGACCCTTGGTTTTCAAGGCAGACTGAGCCGCAGCCAGTCGGGCAACTGGCACGCGAAAAGGCGAGCAGCTCACGTAAT